CTTTATTTTAACCTTAGCCAGTCTTAGTAATTTTAGTTTTCAATCTGATAACAGATGTATAATTTCAGTATTTGTTGATCAGAAGATGTTGTTATTTTCCTGTTTCAGTTAGATGCGCGGGAGAAAATGTATGCAGTTTTGAAATGCAAATTTTTCCACTCAAGAGAATTATTAAATTAAGAGAAACTTTTTTAGCTAGAAAAAGCAAGGTTGAATTACGCTAACACTTCGTATTTCTTCCAGATAATTTTATACCATATTGAACGCTTTTTGTTGAGATTCAAACTTGGTTAAAATAAAGAATAAATAATGATGGACGGCTAACCACTTTTATTTAGTTGTTGAGTTCGCTACAAGTATCACTAATACCAGCAGGAAGAGCAGTTTTTAGAAAGTTGATAGCTAGTCTAAAAAACAAGTGGAAGGACGTTACTCAAATAACTGCTTTTGTAGTTCAAGGTTTTAGAATATGAGGAAAACAAAACCTTCATTTTTTGAGAAATTATCGTAGTTTTTTTTTCATTTAATAGAGTTGGTGAATTCAAAAATTCTTTATCAACATCAACAGCCAGACAAGGTAAGAGAAGTTTTCCGTTTTTCATACATTTTTAATCCCACAAAATTCATTGTCACTAGCGAAGGGTACTGACATTAGTAAGCTATCTCCTCTTGATACAGGTTTTGTATACTATTTACAGGAAATCTAGAGCCACCGGAAATAACGACATTGTTGATGGTTTGATAAGAAGATCATCTATAAACACCGTTAAGTAACAGATTAGAAAAAGTAGGTGAGTTTTGCTATATTACATAGCAGTCAGATTAGTCTGGGAGTTTTTAGCAGCAAACTGTTGCTGCGCAAATCCATCGCTTTTGATTATATATTTTCATGGTTAGCTGTGTTGATTGATACGTCACTAAATTCACAGAGGTTTTTTGACGATAGTTAGCAACTAGGTAAATAAAAGTTTTTTACTACGTTGTTTAAACAGTTGTTAGACAATCGTAAAAATTACTGCTAAAGCTAACAAGTTATTTAGTGCTTCTGATTTGTTTTTATTTACTTTTTTCTCTTGAAAAAATTAGTCAAAAGAAGCTACAGTTACGTTACAATGAGCAGTTTTTGTCTAATTATTCGAACAGGCTTTGTCTAGTAATTTTTTTCTGCTTTATGTGTTCTTGTAATACATTCTAGACGACCACTGTTGGTACATATTTTATTAGCTAAGAAAAAGGAGTTTGTAAACACCATAGATATGACATACAGCGGAAAAAGTTTTATTACAGCGCCTGTTTAATTACTGGAAACTAATGGAGAAAGATAGTTTTATTTGTTCCATCAACTGTGGTTGAAATAAACATTGTTCATTAGCGTTGCATTATCCCAAAATATTTGCTTGTACCTACACACAATTTATTTTGGGAAGAAGGAAGGCAAGAAAAAAAATCAATTCTTGTAAACGTTAAATAAAAAAAGAAAAAGCTAAAACAGAATGGAAGTAACAAAAACAGTGATTATCTTTTATAAGACAATTGGCCCTTGAGTCTCCTTGTTTGCTTGTTTTCTTTGACATTTCTCATTCAGCGGCTTCCTTCCTATTCCTTTTGCTAAGATCTGGATTTTAAGTGTTTTCAGACTGTTTCAGCTTTTTTATATGGGTTTTTCATGAATGGTCCTTATAGAAACAACCAGTTTACACAAGAATGTGCTGGCGAACTGGGCCATCAGTATTTACTGGTTGAGCTTCGGGGTTGAAATTTGCTCTCATGAACTAGGGAGGTAGAGCAGCGAGAAGAATCACAACAGGATTTCGCTTAATTTGTTTCATCACACGGGTTGTAGAATTGCTCGCAAAAATTTATTTTCTCGCAAATAAAACCGATGATTGTTGCTTCTTTTAATCTTTCGTTTTTTTTTTTTTTTT